GGTCCAGAGGAGGGCCACAAAAATGATCCGGGGGCTGGAGCACCTCTCCTATGAGGACAGGCTGAGGGAGTTGGGCTTGTTCAGCCTGGAGAAGAGAAGGCTGCGGGGAGACCTGATTGTTGCCTTTCAGTACTTAAAGGGAGCCTATAGGAAAGATGGGGACAATCTTTTTAGTAGGGCCAGTTGTGACAGGACAAGGGGTAATGGTTTTAAACTAAACCAGGGTAGGTTTAGACTAGATATAAGGAAGAAATTCCTTGCAATGAGGGTGGTGAAACACTGGAACAGGATTCCCAGAGAGGTGGTGGAGGCCCCATCCCTGGAAGCATTCAAGGCCGGGTTGGACGGGGCTCTGAGCAACCTGACCTAGTTAGCGGTGTCCCTGCTCACTGCAGGGGGGTTGGGCTAGATGACCTCTAGGGGTCCCTTCCAACCCAAAACATCCTATGATTCTATGATTCATTGTATGGCTGTGGAATCAGATTACTTGGTGCAGCTGAAGTAGGAGGCTGGGTTTTTTTTTTTTGTTGGTGGTTTTTTTTTTTTTTTTTTTTTTTTTTCCTTTTCTTGGTATTGCTGCTGAAGGCAGTGGAAAGGTGCCTTCTCACTGCATCAATGGAGCTATATGCAGGCAAATGAACACCTACCTCGGTAGTTTCTTGGTTAGTCTTCCTCTTTATATATAAGCTGGCTTGAATGTTTCTGTAGATAAGCTGCAGGCTGCAACATAGAGTTACTTCAAACATCATTTGAAAAGGCTGGCAGAGAAACATACTCTTGTTATATGTAGTCTTGTGCCATAGGCATAATGAAAATTCTTAACGTGGCTACATTTTTACTCCTCAATTTCATTCTTAAATTCTACCTTCCCTCTTGATTTTCTATTCTTCTTTTTTCTGGGCTTGAAACTTTCCTTCTTGAAGATGCTTTGCTTCAGTTCAAGTACAGAAAACTTTAATACTTTGCAATCATTTCTGCTGGCATATGCCATAGTTTCTTAAAGTAAGCCTGCTCATTTATGTGTCAGACCATTCAGTGTCTTACTGTTGATGGATTCCTGACTGTAATAGTGTCCTACAGCAGTGTAGCCCATTGATAGATCCCTACCTCCGAGTTCTTCGTTGGTGCCTTGTGAACTTCATCGGAGGCGGGTATCTGACAACACTGTGAAAATATACCAGTTACTAGGAAGTAGAAGCAGCAGAAAGCTGAAGAAACAAAATTACTAGGCATGAAGAATTCCTTACATAGAAAATGGGTAGATTTCTGTAAGGGGCCATCTTTTACCTAAACTTGGTTTTGCAGAGCTTATACGACTTTTCACTGAATCTTGAAATTGCTGCATTTGAAAAATCTGTTTATTGCGTTCTGTTTCAGGCAGCAAGAATTATTGCCAAACTGGCTGCATGGGGGAGGGAACTTATGGAAGGCAGTGACCTGAATTACTATTTCAACTGGATTAAAACTCAGCTCAGTTCACAGGTAAAAAGCTACTTCTGTTTAAATGTTACAGTGACTTTGGAAACTTTTTTTCCCCGAGAACATGAATATACAGGTGCGCAAACAGGAGTGTGTTTTGGGTTTCTTTAAATGAAATTTTACTTTGTTATTTTTAAAGCTAAACGTCACTTATTCAAAAACATACTCTTAAATTTAATATTTTGTATATTCTATTCCAGTCCTTGAAATTTAAGTTAAAAATAAAAAAAGGCTTTTAAATATTTATTTTCTACTGGACACTGAGAAAACATATCATGGGGTTTTTTGTTTCCCTGTATTATTTTGTTTCTCAGAGCTTTTTTCTAGGAAGAAAAATCAGATGGCAGCAAGAAGTGAATATCAAAACTTTTTTCCAGTTTACTCTTGTACAAAGCTTTTATTTTTAGTCCTGTCACTTGAAACTAAATAAATCCTGACTTATTTGGACAGTATTTGTATGCCTTTAGCTTAGTATGAACTACTGCCGGCTTCTCCTTCAAAGCTTAATTGTTCTCCTTTGTTTTAATTTTTTGGAGATTTTTCCCTTCAGTCCTTATGAAAACCCAGTGTTTTTGTCATTTGTTGTAGCAGATGTGGATTCTGGAAAGCAGAGAAACATACAGTAGGTTTAGTAGGGGTATATTTTTCATAGTTTTCCAAACTGGGCTTATTAAAAATGAGTTTTAATTTTACTCTGGAATAAGAATCTTAAAGTTGGAATTTCCTTCAGAAGGGTTCAAGAAATTGTTTTCAAATTCTAAGATGAAGACAAATAAAAGTCTTGAGTAAATCCACACTTAAATTAAATAAAAGAAAAAAAAATTAAATCTTTGTATACCATGATCAGCTCCAAGCATATTCTTCTAGACACTATGGTGTGCGTGTGAAACAAATACAACATACTATCATAGTATATTGAGCAGAAAAAGCATCAAATAGCTTCTTAATCTTTTCTTTTTATGACGGAAGCGATGGGAGAATTGAAAGAAACTTGGTAACAACTGTTTTGTAAGGGTGAAGGGCAGCTCTGTTCTTAAACTTTTTTTTTTTTTTTGCTAGAAACTACGTGGTGCAGGGGGTTCTGTGGAAACAGGAGCAGTCTCCACAAGTGATGTGAGTATATCTTTGAAATCTGTCAATTTGCTATTTTGGGCAGGTGATATCCACTTGTCAGCTTAAGGTGCAGAGCTGTTCTGGTGTCAGTAATAGAAAGTACTTGGAATCAAAACTGTACGACAACAGAGTGCCAGGTGATGGCGCCAAGAAACAAAAGTATTTTTGAAACACTGGTTTCACAGAAAATGCTGGCAGTGGAAGTATGTATTTTGCAAGTTGATTTGGGTTGTTAAAAATGTAGATGTATCTAGCATTGTTAAAGGTTGAAAATGTTATATGCAATTAATTTAATATTTGAATGGTTTTGTCTATTTAGCACTGAAGTCTCTGACTTGTAGAAGTAACCTGAGACTAAGAAGCTTTTAGCTCTTGTAAAATGCGGAACTTGGAAAAGGCACATCAGATATTGAAGCTAACATTGTCCCTCAAACCTCTCTAGCATGAAATTACAAAAGTGCTTTCAAAGCTGTAAGCTTTTCATGTGTGAATAGCCTGAATTCATGGGAAAATGGATTGTCCTTTTCTCATCAGTATTTATACTGAATTTCATGTAGCTATAGTGGTTGTTGAGCTTGGTGATGATCTGCGGCAGTATAGCAAACGCAAGTGATCATCAGAACTGGATTTTCTATTTTGTTGTGGCACAATGAGGCAGTTTATCATAGCTTTTGAGTGTGGAGTAGGAGTCAGCTTGATCTTTTGTTCCTTTTGCAACCTCAAAGTGTTCAGTTTTTCAGGAGACTTAAATATGAACCTGGAATTTGTTTCTTTTCTAAATGTATCATCGTTTTAAAACGTTAGCTTCCTGTAGAGAAAAGCCTCTTAAATTACCACCTGACCAGGCTTTAAAATAGAAAAGATGAAAGACAGTTATGCATGATCACAGATAGTGGGTGAAATTACAGCCTGAGCATAGAAGTTGAAGTATTTCAGTATTTCATGTGCAGTTCTGTGTGCCATACTCTTAGGTTTTGTTAGGCTGACAGCCCTTTGTTATAGAGCCTTAAAACAGTAAATAGTTCTACAGCACACAACACCGCTCGTTATGGAGCTGTGAGCTCTTCTGACTGGCTTAGAAATCTGTATTTATTGTAAGGTAGCACTGCATGGATGTACCATACTACTGCAGGGTCCCAAAGCAGCAAAACTGATAGTGCAAATATGTTCCAGGATAATTAAGATGGGTAAGTATTGTCTCAAATTTTAGCGTTCTGATTTCAGATCTAGCTTGTGCAGGATTTCCAAACAGGTCTTGACTAATTTATTTCAGAGTAAATTAGAGATACTGTTGTAACATTTTACACAGGAAATGAGGGCTGGGATCTATTATGAAACTTCAATTATAATAGTGTCGGAAGAGAATGCTTTTATGACAGACCTTTCAAAAAGAAAACTCTAAGTTCAGCAGTACACAGGTTGGTGATGCAGATAACTTAATACATTATTTGGGATGGGAAGGCTGTCTGTGTGCCTATAGCTGCTTTGTTTGCATGATGTGTGAGAGTAAATACCTACCCAAGGAAATGAATGTTCTGTATGATGATTTGGACCTAGATGTTCAGACTCAGTTTTTACACAAAGGACTTAATCTCTGGTGAGAGATGCAGAATGAATTCATCTTTATTTTAAAATCTGTTTATTGTCTCTTCTCTTTTCTCTTCATATGGGATTGCCTACCTTCTCTACTCCATTAAATGTTTGAAAGGTTTGACCTTGTATTATGTGATCTACCATAAGACTTTCAAGACACTTAGTAAAGAAAAAAGACTTATAGGAAAAGAACCCCAACTTTTTATTGGCAGCATATCTGAGTATTAGTGAAGATCATGCCAGAAGTTGAGCAAGAAGAAAGGAAAAAAAATCCCACTTCTGTTGTCCCTTAGGATCTTTTTGGTGCCGTAGTGGGAGGGACAGTGGATTGACCAAAACCTGGTTTTGAACTGCAGCCCATCTTGTGTTACTGCACAGAAAATACATGCTTTTAGAGATGAAAAGCTGTTTAATGATTCTGTCTTTGTTCATATGGGAGTCTGAATGAAAATAGAATTCAGTAGTGCATCTCAGCGTTTTCCTGATGGGAAAGTTTTAGTCTTACTATTCTTTTCTTAGCACAGTGTACTGCACTAAGCTTTTAATGAAAAGAAGAAAATCAAAATGCAAAGCGGAACTTTGAGGATGATTTTGCATACTCGTTTTTCTAATTTTTCTTGTATAAATATACATCTCATTATGATGAGCTTGGTACTTACTGTGTGGCACATACATAGGAAAATACACAATTGTGATGACACCACTGCTGTTTTGAGCTGGAGAATGGGGGTGGGAAGGACTTGAGTTCAAGATGCCTTTTTCTACAGTGACCACTAGCAAACCTCTACAAGCTTGTTAACCAGTTCGCTGATTTATTTCCCAAAGTTTTCTCAGTGGAATAACAATTGACTCTGTGGATGAAAGGGCTCTGGCAGTATAATCAAAGAGAAGACAGCTTTCATTCACAGATACTGAAAGAAGGGATGTTCAAATGGGCTATAAAAACCTATTATGGTAATGTAAAATGGTATCACTTGCATAACACTTCTTTCCTGTTTAAAACTCTTCTCCATTTATATTTTGCTTCCCACTTTTTCTTGTGATTTTTTTTTTTTTTTTTTTTTTTTTTTTTTTTTTTTTAAATAGGGGGGTGTAAAGCATTATAAGAGTGAGCCTGTTTAACTCAGAAGTGTCACTGAAGAAATGCATGTTGAAGTATGTCAGTAAAGCCTAGTGTGGAAAACTGAACTTCAGCACTTATTACCTAACTCTTCTTGTAAGAAGTGATGTGCTCTTCTTTTCACCCAGAGTTCCCAGTATGTACAATGTGTTGCTGGATGTCTGCAGCTGATGCTCAGAGTCAATGAATATCGCTTTGCATGGGTAGAAGCAGATGGAGTTAATTGGTGAGCATTTATTTCGATTTATTTGGATATACTTCCACTTACAATAGCATGTTCCCCAGTGACCTCTCTTGGAATAGAACTCTCTTGCAAAAGACAGCTGCTCTGTTTGAGTACAAAACCTATTTCTTTTCAAACACTAATACAGTCAAATAGACAAATGAAACTTGCAGATGCAGGTACCAATGTTGAGGCTTTAATGCTACTTTACTCTTCATGAAGAACTGCTTAAATATCTGAAAGGGAATACAGCCATTTGTCTTCAGCTGAAGATGCTCTGATTTTTATTTAATAGAACAAGGGCTAACAAAATGAGTTTCTGCTAATTTTCCTTTTCTTTCAGTTTTGAGTTGTTCAGTCTGAAAATATTAGTGAAAGGAGAAATATATTCTAGAACTAAGCTAATTTTTTTCCCACATGCGGTGTCAAGTAGGTAATTCTTTTATCCAGATTCTCTTTGTAAATAGCTCTGTATGAGGCTAGGATGCTGTCACTCATCTTATTTAAAAACTGCTTGTCTATAAATAATTTTTCTGCCATGCGTGCATCTATTGGGATGGTGGCTATATGAGAGAAAAAATACTCTTGTACTATGAAATGGAGAAAAGTCAAAGTTGTCAGTGTAGTGGAAGTTCAAAAGATGTTCATGTGTGTCAAGATGACAGTACTGAAGCAAACTTTTTCTCCAAGGAAACTTTTTAATAAGCTGTTAAAGCATTACGATAAGCCTGTGTTTCAACAAGTTTGGATTTGTCTTAGTTTTGATAGCAGTGATCTTGAAAGTTGAGAAATTTTTTTGTCATTTTAAAGAGCTTGTTTTGGAATGGACCTATAAATTGCTTATTAAATGTCTAAAACTTCAGCTGAACAAAGCTTCTGCACGATTTCTTCTTGGAGATCTTTTGATATTTCTTCTCTAGCAGTGCTTTGTGTATCTGTGATGTGTTGTATCTATAAGCTGTTTTCTGAGAACTCACATGTTAAATAATCACTACTTCAACTCATTTCAAGCGCTCCTGTGGAGAGATACAGTCAAGGAAACGAGTTCAATTTGTGTAGATTTTGTTCTGTCTGTTTACTCCTTCTCTTTCTTAACTCCAAAGGAGTAGCTATGTGTTTCTCTGTTTCTCCTAGAATGACAAATAATGCTCTAAACATGCTGGTAGAAAAAGAGTCTTGGTGAACCTGAAGATGGATACAGTACTGTATTGGTTCACATTGGGAAAAGCTGCTTTATGGCTGTAAGGCTAAGGAGGAAATAACTGTATCAGTAAAAGATGGCTTTCTGAACAAGCTGCTTGTACAGTGATAAAATACTGGTGCAATAGTCTGTGAAGCGTGTGTTGTATACTCATCCTCAGCAACTCCTTCCAATAAGTTCCTGTTAACCATTTCTTTTAATGTTTCAGAGTGGAGCAATGCAATCTCTGCAGTCATTATTTAAAAATCTAATGTATACTATGTTAATTTTTCAGTATCATGGGGGTCTTGAGCAACAAATGCGGCTTCCAGCTCCAGTATCAGATGATTTTCTGTGTGTGGCTGCTGGCATTTAGCCCTCAGATGTGTGAATATCTCCGTCGGTATAATATTGTTCCAGTGCTGTCAGATATTCTTCAGGAATCTGTCAAAGAGAAAGTAACTAGAATCATCCTTGCAGCGTTTCGGGTAAGTGTCTGTTGCCTGCAATTGTACTGGGCTTCTCTCTCAAATGAGTAGTTATCAAATGTTGCTGATGCACAGCTGTTTCTGCTAGACTGTATCAGTAAACTGGATTAAAAGCTTAATTCTCCCCCTTTTTTTGTGAGCTGTTTTGCTACAGGTAATAGATGTCTGCTATTCAAGTAATAGATGTCTACTATTCAATATCTTCTTAAAATAATGTTGACTAAAAAAGCTGTGTTAACACAGGCACTATTGATTTCCCTTCTTTAGTTCAAGATTCTCTTTTCTTTTAGTGGTACTAGTGTAAAACCCTGTAGTTACTAATACCTGACAAATTTTGCCTTATGACACTTTTTAATTAAAAAATATTATTTTAAACACACATGTTTGTCTAACTGACTTAAAAATTATTTTTATCTGCTAGCCCAAAAATCTTTTCTTGGTGGCTCTGTCAAGATGAATCAGAATATCGATGTAAGATTGATTAGTTGAATTATTGTGTCCATGTTACCTGAAAATCTCTGGTCCTATTTAATATAATTTGGAATAACTGAGCACCGAGGCTTGGTGTTTTCATTGTGAGAGTACCAATTTGTATTTGTGGATGCTAACTGTGCATGTTCACACAGTTTTACGTGCATGCTTCTCAAGTGTCTTGCATGTAATATAGGAATGCTATACCAATTTGTAATCCCGTTTTAAAATGGGACTTGTATCCTGAATAGGAGATGTAGATCTTGGAAACTATTTGTTTTCCTGGGTGTTGGTTGTGTTCCAGTAGTAGGTGTTGCAAGCCAGTTAGGATGGGGAGAGGGGAATTGTTGCTTATGGACTTGCTGATCAGCAATAATGAGCTGCGTGAAGATGCTTACCCTGCGACTTAAATTGTCACTCTAGCCAAAAGCACCTGCCACTGTGAAAAATTTCTGGGTAAGGATCATATGGATAAGATATTTTTTCTGTTGAAGGAGGTCAGTGGCATGAGGTATTCAGTAGGGGCTATTCTTACTGTGTAGACCTCTGTAGATGTTCTAGTGTTCTTCAGGATCTTAGTGTTAAGCAGGGATGTATAGCAAGACGGCTTGAAACAAAACAATTGAGGTGCTCAGCAGCTTATATACAACTTCTACCAATTCTGAGGTCATAAAAAGTAGGAGAAATACTTGCTAGTTCTTAGATTTAGTGTGTTTTGCAAGAGGAGACAAAAATGAAGCCAAGTTCTTTTAATAAGTAAAGGCTAAGAAGGGATAAGATGGTTCTGTTACAGGCTTTGGGGAAATTAACTTAGCTGTTTTTTTCTCTCCAACATTAAAGGCTAGTGTTGGCATGAAAATGAGGTTATAAGCTGACAGCCAGGAAATAATAGATTAGAAACTAGACATCAGAGCTGTGAGTTCTGATGCAAAATTAGAATAGGTAACAGAGGCAAAAATAGCCCTTTTCCTGTGTTAGAGGCCACAGTATCATTTTATGGGGAAAAACAAAAAAGGTGAATTGCATAAAGGACTAGGCTTGATGATTCCCCAAATCATCCCTACTGCCTGTGCATTACTGAAGGTATGCCATGAGTCTTGACAACTTGCATATGTCTTCTCTACTTGATTTCTCCTAATTTGACCTGTTTCACCTCTTTGGCAAATTAGTTGCCTGAAGTATGTAACTGTAATGTATTTTTTCTATAAAGCTACAGGTATTGGGTACCTATGTCTATTTTGAACCAACTACTTTCTCTCTTTACCTATTAAAATATTTTTTCCTCATTTTTTAATACTTTTATTGTCTTTCATGTCTGTTTCCTACCTGTAACTCATGTTGTACCTTAGGATTTTTTTTATCACAGAGTAGTTTACTGATCCATTATGTGTTCCTGTTTGTACTTCCCTAGCATAACCTTTCAATTCCACTATAAAAAGCTTGAACATCTCACTAGGGCCATAATATTTGGAGTAGCTTCTACAACTGCCTAAAATTCTCTTAACTAGGAGTTCTTCGGAAACTTTATCTACCTGCTCCTTGAACCTGTTGAATTTTGTCTTTTAAGATTCATTATTTGTTCTCTTGCTCTCATTAGCGCTTTTAACTCTGAGTAATTTGGCATTACTTTCTGTAAATTACCTTTTACTTCTCAGTTCTTTTACTGAAATGGAAACATGTTTTTTTCACATTAAAGCTAATCGTATGTGGCCACTAAAAGCAGTAATATGACTTATTTTCAGCAAGTGAGTTCTAATATGTATTTGCAGTGTTCTGCCTTACTAACTAACATGATGTCTGATATCTTAGAAACCTTACGCGTAATGGTTCTGTGACACAAATGAGTGATCCAGTCAAATTCCTTCTATATGGTTTCATTGCTTATTTGTGGTAGATGTTAAGGCTTATTTACATGAACACGTGTTCTCTTTGTTAAGGACTTTGTCTTTTATATGGAATTCATGTTTTCAGCTTTATCAAAAAGTGCAGGTGGCTAGCTCTGAACAACGTAATTTGAAGCTGATTAAATTGAGTAGGAATGTAATGAATAAATGACATTGGAACTTGACTATTACATTCTGTGCTTATAATTCCACTCTTACCAACAAGCTTCTGTTTGAATAAAAATGTCTAGTTGGAATATTCCCAAATTCAAAAGAAGCTAATTTAATCCAGATGGTAACTCTTGAGTTGGAAAGATGACTTCAGGTTGTTTTTTAGGTGTTTTTTTTTAAGGCTTTCCTGCTTTATGCTATTGCTGTACAGAAAGCTACAATGATAATCCCAGATAAAAATAGTTGTTTATGGCTGAGACTCTGGGATTTGGGATGTAAGCCCTGCCCTTTTTCTTTAGATAGTATCTGTAGTCAGCCCAATTTAACATGGAAAATGATCAAAGCATGTGAACTAATAATTTCTAGTATTGAAGGTAGCATACCATTTAGGAGGAAAAAGGTCTAAGCGACTAAAACTTGAATGCAGTGGTCGCTGTGGTGTTCAGCACATATGGTTGCATGACCTATGCAAGGTCTACCTTGCAAGACAGAGCTTTTTTTTTAAGTTCCTCTTCATCTGCTATAGTGACAAATATGAATACTCCTCCTGTGTAGTAAGGTCAGTCCTAGGGAATTTATGCTACTAAATGTAGGTATAACACAGCCACTGTGTGGTAGACTCATACTTTATGACTTTAGAGAGATTATTTCAGGAAGTGGTCAATTCTGTCACTTACTAAATTAAAAAGTGCCAGGAAGAATTTCTTAAAAATACCACTTTGTTTCAAACTAGTTTGTTCTTAAAACAAACAAAATAAATATTTTTTTACTTCCCTAGAATTTGTTAGAGAAATCTACTGAGAGAGAAACTCGCCAAGAATATGCTCTTGCTATGATTCAGTGTAAAGTTTTAAAGCAACTAGAGAACTTGGATCAGCAGAAATATGATGATGAAGACATAAGTGAAGATATCAAATTTCTACTGGACAAGCTTGGTGAGAGCGTGCAGGACCTTAGGTATGCTTTGCAGTATGAAATTAAAAAAAAAAGCAATTATGTGAACATTGGTAAAACTTTTTTCTTTTTTTAAGGCTAAATAATATACAGAATTATGATACATAAATGCTAGTTGATAAGGTAGAGCCTACAGAAATGCTGGTCATGTATAAAAGTTTCCTATTCTAAGTGAGTATTTACAGGCTGAATAGAAAATAATCTTCACTTTTAGATATGTGATCTTTGTAACTGATAAATTTTTAAAGGTCTTCAGAGGGATCTTGTAGGAGTTCCAGTCTAAGCTGAAGACTACTTGACTAGAATATATTTTGCTGTCCACATTAACTCAAGTTTTTGCTAGCTCTTGTGCATAAACTGAACTGCGTATTTTAGTTCATGTCAAAGGTTTAATTGGATGAAAGGCAAGGACTGGGATCTGTGGTTGGAGAAGTTAAAACCTAGAAAACAGGCAAAACGGCCAATTAAGTTCCCAAATGCTGTGATTTACTCCTCCCCCAGCCCCTTCAGGAGTTGTGTTTTGCAGTGGATGGAGGGGTGTGTTTGAAAACAAATGTTTCTCTTGCCTTTCATACCTCTCCTTTTTTTTTTTTTTTTTTTTTTTTTTAAAGCATCAAACTCTGAGACAGGGAAGAGTTCTCAGGCTCTGCAGAGAGCTGACTTCCAAATGTGTTATAGCAAGTTGCGCTCCAGCTTTGTCTTGCTAGGGACAGCCCTGGGCATGCCGTTCAAACTCTGTTCGTAGAAGCTTAGCCAATATTTCATTTAGGTCTTCTGTGTTGCAGCTCCTTTGATGAGTACAGTTCTGAGCTCAAGTCAGGAAGACTGGAGTGGAGTCCTGTACACAAGTCTGAGAAGTTTTGGCGGGAGAATGCTGTAAGACTAAATGAGAAGAATTATGAACTACTCAAGTAAGTTTTGAAGTCTTGAATCACATAATTCTTTAATATTTTCTGTGTTTAACTGAACCTGTATCTAACAGAGGTTTTACATTTCAACACAAAGTAATATTTAGAATGAAAGCAAGTCAGAACATATTGCTATTTTTAGAACGCATGGTCCTTACTCATGTATGGTTTGTTCTGTTCAAAAGCGGAATTGTTTATTTGCTTTTACTGGTCAAGATGTATTGGTGATGATGGTAGCTTAACTTGCATGCAGATTTGTGGCTGTTGACTCTTTTCATGCTTTCACTTGAAAAACAGCAATGCTAACTGATGTAATTAAAAATGTTTTTGCCATTCCTTAGCCTTAGTTTTGTGTTGTGTTGTTGATCTGAGTAATGAACTCCTGTCTTGAATACTTGCAGTTTGAAAGTTGTGGTACTGTTCGATGGAAAAATCTGACTTGCTGCATCACGTTGTAGTCTGTCTATTTTATCTTGGGCCTGTTTGGTGTATGTAGATTGTTAGATGAAGTAAAGCTGAGGCTTATCTTTCCTTTTGGAGTCAAGGACCTATTTGCTGGCTTCTGAAAGTATGTACTCAGATGATGTCTAGGTCTTAAATAGCTTGTAGGGGCTCTTAGTTGTTTAACTGCATTGTCATCAACTGATAACACACAGTGTTCTTCCTGTTCAGTATTTGCTAATAAGTGCCAGAACTAACAGAAATCAGGAGGTCGAGTGGAGCATGTGACATGTTAGAAGGAATGGCAAGAGCAAGCTGATCCTGAGCTTTATGTGCATTTCAGTCTGCCCTGAAATCTTACCAAAACAAGTCTGATAATTTCTTCCCTGAGGGCATATTGCTAAATGTGTGGGATTATAGACTTAAAATTTTTAGATGCTGTCGACTGCAATATGAAGTTGATGTTGAGTCTTAGTATTTGCTGTAGCAATTGCAATGTTTTGCTGTATTATCTCTCCTGGTTCTGGGACTGTTAGGTAAATTTATTGTGCTTGTGCTGCCACAAAGACAGTGATCTACAATAGTTCCTTTAAAAAAACCCAAAACAAAACAAACTGCACCAATACACTCAC